AGCATCTCTGAAGTCACCAAGCTCGGTTCCTTGCTAGGGTTTCAAAAACGACGCTGAAGCTTGACGGTACTTTGCACTTCGTGTTGCCCAAGCTGCCCATCAGTTTTTGTCTTACCCTCCAGAGCAGAGAGCTTCATAGGAACCACCAGGCGGCAGATGGGGGTGTCAGATCAGTCGAGTTTCGGATCAAGGAGTGTTGGTCCCGTCAGATCATCCGAGGGCCGCAGGGTCAGCGATCCGTTTCATTGTGCGCAAGAAGCCAGATCACAGTCAGGGCGTTTGGCGCAGTGCTTTTATACACTGAATTTGCCATAGTGTGTAAAATCGTGCTTCGATATAGGTATGAAGTCGTGTTTACTCTAAGGTTGTCTAGTCGTGTTTCTATAGTGTGGTGAAAGCATGTTTCTATCGTGCTTCTATTATGAGGGTTTTCAAAATCTAGTGTTTCCGTAGTGTTTTCCAATTTGTGTGTTCTTTTTTTCAGCGTTCCCAAATAGTGTTTCTAGATGGCTCCGTACAGTATTGCATTGCAAGCGCGTACGGTTCGCCAGTTCAACATTGTTCGGTCTTGCTTCGCAGCATCGAGCACCTCAAGCCCTTCGGACAGATCCACGAGGGACCCACACGAAAGAATGCGACGGCATTGAGGCAAACGAGGCAAGTGGGTCAAAGGGGCAAGTGAGGCAACATCAACTACTGGTCGCCGTGGGCGCCCCGCAATGCACTGCGTCTTGGAAGCGTACCTACCATCGTGGTGGCCTGGCTCTTGGAAGCTTACCGATCATGGTGGCCGTCTGGTTCTTGGAAGGGCACGTTTTGGTCACGTGGTTCTCGGGCATGTGTACCCACCATCGTGGTCGCCATGTTCTTAGATTCTGAGAACTGTGGATGTGTATGCTACATTGCGTCTGGCCGCCTGGTTCTTGCAAGCGTGCGTCGTGGTCACCTAGTTTTTGGGCGCGTACCTACCGTCGTGGTCACCTGGTAAAGCTACGCTGTGGGGCCTTTGAATTTTCAATTTTTCACATTGGTCAAGGAAGCTTTCTGACGTGCACAAGAGGTGTAAAAAATTGAAGACATCGAGAACTATTAACTATCCATCAAGAGCAGAAAGGCGCTCAGACCCGCGGGTTCCTTTTGGCCCCCTAGCACTAAACCCACGAGTCACGAGCCTTCAACCCTACAACAGGACTCTTGTGAGTTGTCGCGCCTCACTCTCTGCACGGAGAAGCACGCGCTCACCCATGGCCTGAAACACATACCAGAGGTGTACGAAGCGCAACAGGTCAGGGCTTGGGAGGGCTTTCGGACAAGCAGAATTTCGCCTGCTTTGCTGGGCGGGCCTTTGATGTTGAGCCGCTGCGGCTCTCACAGATGAGCTCCAAGATGGCACCCTGCGCTTGGCTTCCAGCACTGACGTATGTTTACTCGGCTTTCTGGATTGAAGCATGGACACTCCAGAAAAAGCTCGCGATTGCAGTGCTATTGCAAACCGTAGTCAACGAGAGTCTGGCCCAGAACGATGCAACAATCACCGTCGGACGATCAGTTGGCCAAAAGCCCCTACGCAGGCTTTCTTTTGACTCACACCGATAGCTCTATGTCGCGCCGACAATACATGTCGCATCAGTCTACACTTCAAAGGGTACTAGCGTTGCTGGGACAAGCTTACGACAAGCACAAGATTGCAGATGGCAGATGCGCAGTCTGCCACGATGGACGAATGAAGAATTCTCAGGTGTTTGGGACATGCGTGCTCAAGAGAATGCACTGTCTCCCCCCTGACCGGGTATGCAAAACCCACACAAGACGAATCTACCGCAAGCACAGCTGCCGGCAGCTAATGGTGGAAGTCTGCGCCTCGTGCCGCATCAATACCCAGCGGGTGACACCGTCGCAGAGTCGTAACTGGATTTCGTCACAGGGCAAAGCAAAGCAGGTCTTATAGTTGCGGTTCTGAACAGTAAGAATGTAATTATTCCTAGGGCATACGCAGATCCCAAGACGATAAACAGAACCACTCCTCCTGGACTTTGCTGTTCCCGAAAAAAAGTAAACAACGAAGAGTCGCACTGAACCCAAAAAAAGAGAAAGATAGGCAAACCCTGCCCCCCCCCAAAAGCTCTCCACGCTCAAGATCGTCAACGCAAAACAACGGCGCCCCCTCGAGGGAGTCCAGGGGGGACGCCTCCACATCCGGAGGCCCCTGGGGCTCCTGGGGTTGGCCGCCGCAGACCCCCCACACACAACAGGCTTAAGAGCTTCTTAATAGTATTATGATTGCTATAGTTATCATTATTGTTCTATTTTTTATTATTGTTACTATTATTATTATTGTTACTACTGCTATTATTGCTATTATTCTGAGGACAAAAAGAAGGCAAGGTCCTTTCTCCACCACTGGAGCTTTCCAGCCCGGAGCTCTACGTAGCGTCGAGCCTTGCAAGGGCGTCCAGATGTGCGTTTCTGCGCTGGTGGGGGGGGGGGGGGCCCAGGGCCCAAGCCGAAAACTCCTAAAAGCATCTGAAAAGCATTTGAAAACCATCTGAAAGCCAACCAATGTGCCATCAGCAGCCCGTCCGGGCATCAGTTGCCCAGCCCTCGAGATGTGTTTCAATGTGTCTAGCCTGCAATTTGGTGGAAAAGGGTCCAAAGGTGGCTGCGGCTTCTGGCAGCTGGAACAAGAACCCTATAGACCTAAACCCCTGCGATGCGCCAGTGCGCCAGACACCCAGGCAAAGCAACGGCATTGAAGTGAGCTTGTGCCACACACGTCAAGAGAGTAGGGAAGCTCTGTTTGCGGCCCTAGAGCTGACCACACCTAGACCACACCCTACAGAAGAAAGCCCTGGCACCGGAACCTTCTAGTTCTGGGCACCGTGAAATTAAAAAAACCCGAGCAGAAAGGGGCTTGAGCTTTGGGCCTTGAGTTTGTGATCTCGCAAGATGCGAGGAAGAGTTTCAGGGTTGACACCGGCAGCTTCGGGCCTAGGCCTCTGGCAGTTCAGAGATTTCAAGAATGATTTGGTTGCAGAAAGACATGGCAACAATGAATTTGCACAGGCTCATTGAGCCATGGCCCGCAACAACATCCCGACCATCACTCCGAGGCAGATCTAGATTTCCAGTGCTTTTGCGCACGCATGGTCGGATGTTTTCTCCATCTCCCTTTCTGTGTTTTTTTTTTCTCTCTCTCTCTCTTTCTCTCTCTCTCGCTCTCTCTCTGTCTCTGTTTTGGCAGGCCGTGACCATGTCCCGGCGGCTACATTCAATGCTGGGCTGTAGACCTGCGAACCGGACCCGAAACACAATTGACACAGCTCTTGGGTTAGTTCCAAGAAGGTTAAGCCTGCGAGCACCTCACCTCCCATAACCCCAACAGACGCCAAACGTCAACTCGTCCGACTCGTGTCTCCAACAAAAGAGACGCTCTGCAAAAAACAATCTGGGGACGAGGCCCACCACCAGCCCCAACCAGACTTGAGCTTCATCTTTCCAGCCCTAGGGCTTCAGCTCTGAAGGGCTTTGGCTCCGAGAAGGTGCGCAAGGCTTGGGTCGCGAAAGGGTTTCCAATCCGACCGTTTAGGAGTACTTCAATACCAGTCGCGCACATCCGTCCTCCCCTCAAGACTTACCCGAGCTCCGGAGCCCCCTGGACCCCGAATCACGAACCGAATGTGTCTAAAAACCCCGAAAACCCAACCCAACCCACCAATATCACAACTGAATCCAAAACTCTCGCCATGCAAAATCCAAACTCAAAGCCCGCAGGGTCTATTCGGGTGCATCTCAGGCTCAATCTCGGGGCTGCGCGCCCTGGCCCCAAGGCCCCAAGGCCCCAAGGCCAAAAAAACGAACTTCAGGCGTTTTTTTTTTTTTTGGGGGGGGGGGGGGGGCTTTCAGCGGACCCACGGCTTGGGGGAGCGCTTGGGGATTTGAGGGGTTAGAGGGATGCTTAGAGGCTTCAGGGATGTGAGAGGTTTTGTAGTCAGGCAGCCAAGGACTATCACCGAAATTGCAACCGCTTTCGGAGATGCTTGAGCCCTGTTACCCTGTTTTTCTTTCTACAGATAATTTCAGGAGGGTAAAATGTGTCATGCACAAAGCATACTTTGTTGCGACCATGCATGAGCCCGAAACCCTAGAGCGAAGCTCTCGGCTCGACCTGGAGACAAACCCTGCGCTGTCAGTTCCTCACGCGAAACATGGGCACAATTAAAGTGGAGTCGCAAAATGGGGCTTTCCGAAAACAGGGGTACCCCTGTTGGGTCCCTTTTAGGAAATTCCAAAAAAGCGTATGCCCAAATGTATCCAAGCCTTCTCTTACGCACTGTGCACCCCATGGTATCGTGCCTGATGCTGGCGAGCTGGGTTGGTCAAACCTGTCCAGGGCACCGCTGTACTCTCCGCACAACCTTCAACTAGCACCCAATGAAGTCACGCAGGAGCGCAATTGCTTCGTGTAGTCGAGTTGAATCACTGTGCTTCAATGCAGTGGGTCCAGGATCCTGAAGGATCAAGGGCGGGCACATGCCCAGCAGTAAACGGCAGGTGCCCGGACAATCCCAAAGCACGTCTGGCTTTCTTAGTTTTAACGCCTCAGAGCTAAGAAGCAGGGCCAAGCAGGGTTCAAGGATGCACTGTTCTAGCCTGAGCGCATCTGACGCTGCCCGAGCCCCTAAACGGCACCCCTAAATGCTGCCCGAGTTTGTGTGCCAGGCCTTGGGTCCTTTGGAGGCGTGCTTGACACAGAAGCCTTGTTTGCAGAGTGAGACAGGTTTTTTGCAGTATCGCATCGCTTGCGGTTTTTGATGGTGGCTTGAAAGCTGGGCTTCATGGCGAGGTTTTCCCTACAAGGGTTGTCGCAAAAGGCTACTTGGCACTTCAGCTGGATGCTTCATGCTGGAACTACCATGAAATACCCCCCCCCCCGCCCCCGCAAACCTTCCACAACCTCTCCATTACTGTATGGCAAACACAGCGCCCCGAAACATGCAACATTATGCACCATGAGCCCCTGCGCTCAAGTACCTATTCCCCGTCATCATCGCCTCAGGTCTGACGCTTGCCCCTGTCGTCGCTGCAACGTCCACATTTCTTGCTGGTGCTGGTTGCGAGGACATCGAGGACCGCTTGGGATATCCTGGATGTCCTGCCTCAGCTTGCGGTGCATGCAGCTCATGCGGTGCAGATGACCGGTGTGGGCCAGAGATTTTTGAATCTTCATCGGTCTTCTTCGGCACAGACTTCATGGAAACTGCGGCTAGAACCGTCGCACTGGCTTCCGTAGCGGCAGCTTCTTTGGCCAGCCGCGCCTCCTCGGCCTTCTTGGATTCGGCAGCGACAGCTTCTTTGGCCAGTCGCGCCTCCTCCGCCTTCTTGGCTTCGGCAGCCTCTTTGGCCAGTCGCGCCTCCTCCGCCTTCTTCGCGTCGGCAGCCTCTTTGGCCAATCGCGCCTCTTCCGCCTCCTCTGCCTTCTTCGCATCGGCAGCCTCTTTGGCCAATCGCGCCTCCTCCGCCTCCTCCGCCTCTTTGGCCAGTCGTGCCTCCTCCGCCTTCTTCGCGTCGGCAGCCTCTTTGGCCAATCGCGCCTCCTCCGCCTTCTTCGCGTCGGCAGCCTCTCTGGCCAATCGCGCCTCCTCCGCCTCCTCCGCCTTCTTCGCTTCAGCAGCGGCAGCCTCTTTGGCCAGTCGGGCCTCCTCCGCCTTCTTCGCGTCGGCAGCCTCTTTGGCCAATCGCTCCTCCTCCGCCTCCTCCGCCTTCTTCGCTTCAGCAGCGGCGGCCTCTTTGGCCAGTCGCGCCTCCTCCGCCTTCTTCGCGTCGGCAGCCTCTTTGGCCAATCGCGCCTCCTCCGCCTTCTTCGCGTCGGCAGCCTCTTTGGCCAATCGCGCCTCTTCCGCCTCCTCTGCCTTCTTCGCTTCAGCAGCGGCAGCCTCTTTGGCCAATCGCGCCTCCTCCGCCTCCTCCGCCTTCTTCGCTTCAGCAGCGGCAGCCTCTTTGGCCAGTCGCGCCTCCTCCGCCTTCTTCGCGTCGGCAGCCTCTTTGGCCAATCGCGCCTCCTCCGCCTTCTTCGCGTCGGCAGCCTCTTTGGCCAATCGCGCCTCCTCCGCCTCCTCCGCCTTCTTCGCTTCAGCAGCGGCCTCTTTGGCCAGTCGTGCCTCCTCCGCCTTCTTCGCGTCGGCAGCCTCTTTGGCCAATTGCGCCTCTTCCGCCTTTTTGGCTTGGGTGGCGGCAGCAGATGCCATTGTGCTTTCGTTCTTCGCTTTCTCTTGGGCTACCTGGGGCAAGTATACCGGGTCTTAAGGACGCTGAGGTTCTGATGCAAGAGAACGTGGGCAAGTTTGTTCAACATGTCCCCCATACCAGTTTGCTGCAAGGCACATCCAAAGTGATGCAATACTCAAAACCTAAACCGAGGCGGCAAAACAGGACTTCTTGATGCTTCTACTCCTCATTTATGACTCAAACTCGATCTACATACGGCCACCCTAACATCCGAACACTTCAACAGCGGAACTCCCAAGCCACAAGCTGAGACCCTCAACTTTCATTCCCATTCCACCTTGTTTTCTCCTCCTGGTGGCTTCATACCTCGGCGTGCAGTGTTTAGGGTTGGATTCGTCCCAGGCCTTTGCTTGGATCACGAACAGCGCCGGGCTCGGAAACTGCTCGTCCAAGGAAATTGGAAATAAAAAAATGGGACCATGGGGCCGGCAAATCTAGAAGTACCAGGGCTTTTGGGCTTAGAAATCTTGGATCTCGCATCAGGAATCTTGGATTCTTAGAGCTTGCAAACTGCAATCTGGGATCTTGGATCTGAGATCCACCTTATGAAGCTCGGGGGGCTGGGGTGAAATATATAACATGTATCTTAATTCAGCCCTAACTGTCTCAAGTTCAACCCACCTAAAGTTATGAAATTACTGGGTGGATCAATCTTATGAGTAAGCTGTGACGTTGCACAAATACATGCGATCAAGCATGGATGCTTGCGTGGACAGGTTTGTACACTAGCATAATGATGTTTGCAATTACCAGTTCTGTTCGCCTTCTTTCGTGGCTCATGGATTCTCATGCCCGCTCGGGATAGCTCCACTCCAAACCCGGCAGCAAACAGCACAACATAGCACAACTCACCGTGACAACTCACCGTGAAATACTATGGTAATCATAATCACTGACTGAGCACCATACCCAAGAGCACCCAGTTGTACTCGCCTCCAGCCCTTAGCTTGAGGGACCCCGGGATACTGGGGCTCAAAGCTTTCCCTGGTAGGCTAGCGGCTCAGCTTTTTCATGCTGTCTTACGCCTCACGTGGCTTCAGGATGCTTCAGGTTTTAAGGCTGTCGCAGAAATCATATGCTTCTGTGGCCGAGGGGCGCATGGGCTTAGACTTATAGATGGCATCAGGCGCAAGGCTGTCAGGGTGTTGAGTGTCTGGGCCACCGAGATCAAGGAGAAACAGTACACGGCAATAGCATTGTTCCACATGGACACAAAAGCAAGAGCAGGCAAAGAATTGAAAGCCCACTCCCCGAGCTGGAGAAAATTCTACAAAAAGTCGCCGCCTTCCCCTTCCGAATCCCAGAAAGCACTCCATGGATCGAAGGCAAGGATCGTCCGTACCGAGTCCACCGCAACGTCGAGCTGGAAAAGCGGGGTGGGATGCATGCCCTTAAGCTGCTATTCACACCCCTTAAGGGCTAGCTTCGACGCAACGACTGCGATTCTGGAGGGAACGGTTTCTCAGCACCATCAGCACCGTAATCCTGTGCCTGCCCAAAACACGCTGACGGCTTGAGGCTTTGATGAGCAAGCTGAAAGACAACGAAGCCCACGAATTACGATTTTCAGGCTCGGGGTCCCTCCGATGAGTTTGTTCAGAACCTCAGAACCCTTCTTGGCGCCACATGCGCCAGACAGTGCCAGATGCTGACAGGTCTCTTGAAGGTTCCTCCTCCAAAACCCCTTCAATACCCCCTGACCCTCACCTCACAGTGTGCCTCACTGCAGAATCTGAAAGTTGTCCGGTACAGTTCATTGTTATATGCTACATTATACTAATATATAAAATACACTAAAAACTATGTTCTACTTCTATATATTGTATACTACATTTCACATACGAATAAATATACATTGACATCCAACGACCGGAGCAGCTTTGCGCCTGGGGCAGCTCGCTCTCGGCCTCAGCGCCGCCGAACTCCTGGCCAAGCTTCTAAGGCTCAAGGCCTAAGTGGTTTATATCCTGGGCATTTAAGCCGCACGCAAGTCGTAGGTTCCTTCCACACTCGCCTTTTGCACGGGAAGAATGTACTTGGCCATCGGGTCCAGCGCATGATGAGATGGGGTGACCGCTTTCCATGAATATGCCAGACTGCCGCAACCTCTTTTTTCATCTTTCCTCGTCATGCAAGTCATGCAATTCCACTAAGAGAGCTGGCCGGGTCGTCGCAAGCGGGCTGCGAAAACTTTAGGCCCTGCATCATAATGGTACCCCAACCTAGACTCCTAAACCTGACCTCTGTAAGCCCCAGACTTCCCTGAGCACTACCTAAACCCTTATCCCCTAAACCCAACGAAAATCTACAAAAATAACTCCAGACCAAAACGCTTGAAAGCCAATTCCACACTACATCAACCTAAACCCTAAACTTGCCCGAACCCTCTGCTCCATAAATACGAACCCTTGAACTCCACAAAGGCTGTAGAAAGGCCCTGTTTAGGGTCTAAGTGTTTAGGGATGCTCAGGGGATTAGGGGTTTCGGGATGTTCGGGGAAGCCCGGGCTTAGCTAGATTGAAGGCAGCAAAGGGTTTTTGAACGCCCCTGTTTGCGAGAGCGATATGAAAAGGGGCGGAGGGGCGGCGTTGTTGCAAAGCGGAGCTGCTTACACACAAGCACCGCCAATACACAAAGCCACCTCAGGAAACAAAAACCCGTGCCCCTGATGCGAAAACACAGACCCAATCCTCCATCTCGGCTTCCATCTGCTTCTGCTGCTCCAGGGCCAAGGACGCCATGTATTCCTGCGAGGACTTCGGGGCTGCTTCTTCTTGTCCCTTATCGGCATAACTGAAACATGCTGAAAACATGCTCAGTATATCATGGAAATGGAAAAAGTTACGACCTTTGGGACTTCTGGATCAGAGCTTTCGGGTTTAGCGAGCTGTAGGCCTTTAGGGCTTCAGCCCTTGGGGGAAAGGGGGAGGGGAGCTGAAAACGCTGGGTCGGATCGCGTGGGGCCCGAGCTGGATCGAATGAATCAGATCGCGCTGGACGCGAACCGGATGGAGCAGGGCCCTAAATTCCGCTGAGACGAGCCCCGAGATGCCCGATCTGTGTGTTTTCGTCTCTCTTTTCGTGTGTTTTCCAACTCGCATGTCGTTCCGAGTCGTTCCCTCTACTGAACCCACACCGACCCCCCCCCCCCCCTTCCCCCGCGAGAACTTGAAGGCCCCAAAATCCTGAAAGGCCTTGGGTGTGCTCCTCCTCAATTTACCGGCAATGCTTCCTGCTGTCTGCCGGGCGACGAAAGCAGCTACCAACAGTAACCCTCTGAGCGAGACGTGTGTCAGTTAGCTTGCCAAGCTTTTCCAGAACCTGACCGACACGCATCCTGGTGGTTTCATGCAAAAGTTAAACATGCTGGGCGCCACAGTAGCGGTGCGCGAGCCAAACCCCGAAAAAAGTAACCAAACGCACTTCGAACGCAGGGCTTTGCACAAGTCCTCCACTGAGATCTTGCTCTTGCCTGCATCCGAGACGGCCCCGTCGACAACGGCGAGACCTGGGCATGTGAGCAAAACATGTGGCTTAGGAAGATGAGAAGAAGCCTACGCAATGTAAAGGGAAACCCTGCACAACAACCAAGAAGAAACCCCGGGAGCTTCAGGGAACGATTCATCAATGGGCGCCCAGCGCAAGAGCTCGGATATGAGGTCTGCCAGCTCCAACTCTTCCAGGCTGTGTGCCTTTTACGTCTCAGGTTTATCAATGAGGGCTGAGGCTGAGTCGCGGAAGTGCACGGGAACGATTCTAGATCAAGGGGGCGGCGCAGGGTTTATAAAGTCTACTCTCACGGCCGCGCACGCCCACACCACGCACGCACTGCAAGCACTAGGCAAACTCAAGACGTCTACACCGCAGCTCGGAACACCAAGCCCACCTCCCGGCGGAACGTGATGCTGCACACACTGCGAACCTCTGCGAGACTGACGAGCTGCATTCTGTGCTTTTTTTGCCCTATGGCAAACCCAAGGGAAACACTGCACCCCATGACCCCATGATGCCTGAACGAAAGACGCACTTGCTTAAGGAGTCCTTGCAGGTCGTAGTCCTAGGTCTTCCCACCTATAAAAAAAATGACCCGCCCTCCCATGCCAGGTTCTGGGGGCCTGCGAAAGACCCGGGAGACTTTCTGGACAGGTCACCGAACCTCCGCTTCAGCACCTTTAGCACCCTGCTTCCCTCCTTCCCCCCCTTTTCAGAAGCAGGGAGTTGGGGTCTCCCTCAAACTCTTGTCATGGCTTCTAAAGAGTTCGCGCTAACACGCGTGAACACGTTGGAGACTTGCACTTTGGGCGAAGAGGTTGCCGAAGCTTTGAGGCCCGGGCAGCGCACGCGCACGCAAAAACACACCCGCTTGCCATGCATCCCTCATGCGAGGTTGTGCGCTGCCGAGGCAGGTGCTTTCTTTCTGCTGAGGCCAGGGGTGCTGTTAATTTTCTGTTTACTAGTCCGGGGAAACCTCGGAAAATCTCTGCCAGCGCAGAATGGCAGCCAGGGACCACTTGCTCAAAGGGTTCTGCTGAAAAGCACAAGCGGTGGCGTGGATCAAGGCTGGTGTAGCAGCTCAGGCCCTGGCATGCGCGTCGGCCTTCTTCTGCTGTGCATTCCACTTACCCCGCCTGGCTGTTTCACGGTTCCAGGATGCTCCAACATTTGATAGTTACGAGTGGGTGAGCACACCCTTTTGTGAGCAAGCCTCCCCTTTCACCCTGCCCCCAAGGCTTCCCTCTACGCTTCCGGCCTCACAGCCGAGACTTTCGGCCCGACCTGGGTGTGAGGAACTTGGGGCAAAAGTGGGGGGGGGGGAGGCGGGAGGCAAGTGGGGGAGGGCGCATGTGGGCGCGAGACGATTTTGGAGCTGAGAGCTGCTGACTTCCTACCGAGTTGGGAGTTAGGAACCTTGGTGGCCCCAGACATTCAAGCAGCACATGGAATCAGAATCATGTTTCAACTTGCATGGCCGTCTGATTGCCTGGTCAGAAGGGCCACCCAATCGAGGCATCAGGTGTATCCTTTTCCGAATGTCATGTCGAGATCGATAGCCGTCAGTGTCGGTCCACCACTCCAGGGCCACCATCAAGACTCTTTAACTCAGCGTAAGCCCATGGGCTGCGTCTTGCAAACTCAAGAAAGAGCAAACCTCCATCGTTCCAGAGTGGTCAAAAGATACGTCTTAAGGGTGCTTGAGTGATCATTGCTGATGGTGGACCCCCGAACCCGACAAATCAAGGCCATGGCCCAGTGGACGAAGATGTACCTTAAGGGCAGACACGATGGGGAGCCGGGTTCGTCGGAGGGGTCCTGAAAACAAAGGAAAAGACATCAACATGAGAGCCGTGACTAGCAAAGAAAAAGGGTGAGTGAAGAGACCCCTATTCGGCCGGATATTCGCCTTAGGCACAAGAAGCCTTCAACCGCTGACTTCCCTACTGTCCGAAACAAAACTTTGCGGTAGTCATCTGTGAACCCTTCAGCCAACACTCGAAATCTCAAAAACGTTCAAACTCCTCACGGTGTCGGTGACAGGCCACTTCACGACGGCTGGTGCTGCTGTCATGCCCTTAGCAGGCAAGGGGGGGTAAACTGTGTCGCGATGTCACTGCATCAAAAAAAGCCATGCCAAGTCATGTCAAGATCACCACTCAAAACCGCAACGGCAACTCAAATCCGAAGCCGAATGGTCCAACTCAGCCCACAAACCACAAATCGATTTTTTCTACGCGACGCGGCCTCCATCGAGGAGGCCACAGTCTCGCGCCCGAAGGTGAAACCTGGCCAGGGTCCCGAAGGATCGGAGCTTTATGAATTTTAGGAGCTTGCGGATTGCCTGCGGCTAGGCTTCTGGGGTTTAGGTCGTTAAAGGCCGTTCAGGGTGGGTGGGTGTAGAGTGGTAGGAGCCGGACTACCTAAGATCGGTTCTTCCAAGTTACCGAGAATCATTCAGATAGAGTAGGGCCCACGGGAATCTCATATAAGCGTTCAAAGAACGGAACCTTCCCACGTGAAAAATCACGGAAGCGGCGCCCGATGCGGCAGAGAGCACCTTATACTTGGCTTAGCCGAGGCCCAGCTGAAGACGACACACTGCAAGCCCAGAACCTGAAGATCCCTCACGGAGTTTAACTCTCCAAACCTCCGAAGCCCCCAAAAAACAGATGCAGGGCCGGCGGATCATGCCGAAGAGGACCAGGTCCTCCGAGAGCCATTCTTTCATCCTTGTGGCAGACGGATGCTGAAGCTTCTCGGACTGCAATAGAAACTCCGTGTCAGGTTGGCTCTGATCCACCTTGTGTGCAGCTTGAGAATCTTTACCTTCGGGCACAGAATGCCTAGACCAGGAACCCCCCCCCAACACGATGCGTTGATTGCTTCGATTGAACTGCTGTGCAAGAATCCCTGGTGCGTTTTTCCTTTCTCTGCCAGCGGCCGGCCCACTTCTTTCAGCATCGCGAAGCCCTAAATCTAACTACCTCAGATGTGGAATGCGACGGTCAACCTGCAAAATCCCCTCACCCCCCGAATCCTCTAAAACCCTAAGGCCCGAAGCTCTCTCTGAAGATGGGAAGTTGGTGTTGGTTCGGAAGTGTTTCGGCGGCAGCCTTGCACCGCAAGGTCTGGGCACCCCGACTCTACAAGGCCCCCGTAGCCGGCATTGTGCCTGGGCTGCTGTGTTAAACTCCAGTGACTTCGTGGTCTATTTATCAATGGGCTGCCGGCTGTGATTTATAGGATAAGATCTTTACAAGCCAAACATTGGGGCGGCAAGGTCTTGCTGATGCTCATAGCGGAGAGACCGAAATAGTGACAGCACGATTACGTCGGCAGCATGCGGTAAAAATCAAACCGCACGCATCCAGCTACAGTGCAGTAGCTGTCCGAGTCTTCTAAAAGTCGTAGGTCTTCAGTCTATGTCGTATCTGACGCTGAAGTAAATATAGTAGCTTACAAGATATGATATATGTATAAATATGCATATACATATATATATATATAAGAAGATGTACCATTTTTCGTATCCTGGTTTCCCGTGGCATGGGCCTCCTTTCAATGTGGGTTTAGGTCCAATCGGCTCGTCTGAGTGCTCATCCTGCACGGCTCTCATAGCACGACTCCCTGCGTGACTTCCTGCAACTATGAATCGTCCTTTAGTCCCTGTCCGTCTTTGCGTGCACTGGCAGGTCAGTCCACGACCTCTCTACGCAAGTTGCACGATGCCACCCGCATTGGACGTTTGGCCATATGCACTGAACTTTCGTGGATCCGGGCGCGCTTCCAGAAGCAACAGGGCAGTTCTTGCGTGACCCCGCAGGCGCGTACACCACAATGACGCTTCGCCATTTGCATTGGCTAATCTCACATCGGCCCCGGCATTCAGCAACTAACGACTTTCGAGCTGCCGACTGTCGCTGCGTACCGTAGAGCTGTCCAGCCGTGTGGTTGTCGGAGCAGTTCTTTCCAGCCCCAACCTCCAACAGCAAACGGACACGCTCCGGATTTGCATGTTTGTTCTCAAGGTTTCCTTTTTCTCAGCTTGTTTGTCGCTGGTGACTGGTGATGCGTTTGTTCCTGGGGCAAAGGGGTCAACACTCACTTCACAAGAATCGAAAGCAGGGGCCCCGCCGACCATGGCTAAAAACTCAACCATCCCGCGCACAAGACACGCTCAAAGCACGATGGTCTCGGAGTCCGAGATCTTCAATCCCCCCCTCCCCACCCCGAGGGACCGACCAACTTTTGAAGCAATCTTTCTTGGCGGTATGATGTCCCTTTTAAGCCAGATGGCACGGCGTTATTAACAGTTGATCCTTAGAGTCTCGCACATTATGGCAAGCCAGTCGCAGCCCCACAGCCCTACTGCACCCCTCCCATCCCCACACTGTCCTACACTACACAAGAAGCTATGTATTATACTCCCCTTCGAACCTTCATAAGATCAATATCTTTAATATCCTCTTGGGTTTTATATAAAGCAAACATTTAAAAAAAAAAACAATTCCCCAAGGGGAGATAGAGCTATAAGGGCAGCCATGGTGCAGTTCGAGCCGCTCTGGCTCCAGGAGGGCCCAATTGTAAGGCCTCTCGGGGTGACGAAGGGCACTAGGATTGAAGAGAATGTGCGTGCCAGGGCAACGCAAGTTGCCCGAAAGACTCTTCAGCTTCGGCGGTTTCTCCAACTCATTCTCTACTACTTGCTGTGAATCTTGCCAGGGGTCTCTGGCCACTTGACGAAAGAGCCATCGTATGCAACAACGCGCAGCCGTCGATTGCTTTGAAATAAGGCATAAACTGGCGGGGTGCCGCTACCTACAAGAGCTGCTGCCTGGTGAGTCTTTGGCTGCTACTCACATTGCAGCTGAAATTAGGGCGGTTCTGTGGAGACTGGAAGACATTGCGAGGGGAAGACATGAAGACGTGTACCAGATGGAGTTCAAACAAAGCCGAGTGACATCAAACTTCAGGTACATCATCCCTGAGCCTACAAAATTCAATCTCTGAAGCTTCAAGTCCTCAAGCCTCACGAGATGCAAAGCCTCAAGCTGCATGCGTTGATTCTAATTTTAGGTGGGCAACCCTGAACGCCCGCCCGGTAAAGTCTCGGTATATTTGCAGAACATATTGAATCTTCTTGCCAAACTGTCACTCTGGACCCTGAACCGAAGCTCGAAAACCACCAAAACCCCCAAGCAGTCCTTTAATACAAACTTTCATACTTCAAAGCCTATTCAGAACCTAAACGCTGCCCCGGCCCTGAGGTATCGCCGACCGCAGCCAGCACGCGGTCGACAGAGATCTGCTTGCCCGGGTGGTCCTGGCACTTGGGCTTTGATGGGCCTGTGGGGGCAAGGCAGTCCGATCGCAAATCTACCAGATGAAGGTGGTTTGGGGGCGTCTGGCGGATGTGCAGACACGTCCAGAATTTGAGCGTTGCGACAGATGAAGGGATCTGGCTTGCTCAAGTTTGCTCGACGTGAATGACCTGAAGTCATGTCAGCTCAGGCCCCATGCTCTTGGGGGAGAGGGGCTGGCATAGCAAGCAAACATCTCACACTGGCTCAGCTTCACCCTTGGTACATGTTTTCAGAATAGGCTAGCAAAACAACTGACTGTGCCCCCGTCGGCAGGAGCCTGGACATGCAGCAACACGTGTATCTTCAAGGAGCTTGATACCATGCAACATATCGCAGCCCAGCATGAGCATACTGCATTCTGATCATCGGAGGCTCAGCTGTTCTTCGAAGGCAACTCCCAATGCAAAACTCAAGAGTATAGGGTCAGATGACATAAGGCGCTGCTACAAACAACTCAAGGTAACGACACGCCATACTCCCGGCAATCGGTTGGGGCTCCTTGACAGTGCGCGGCACGCGCGGGGCTTTATCTTTGCCTTTCGCCTGAGAACTGCCAAAAACAGACAGGATTAAGAGAACAGCATTTGGTTCGGGGGACTTTGGGTTCCATTCTGCAATTCTAGGCTGTCGTTTAGTAGGTCCTTAAGCATCCCGCCCGAACTAGGCAATGAAGATCTGTGTCCTTAATTGCTGCCGGCCTGTGTCTCATTCCTCCAACCCCAACTAAGCATCAGTCACTGGATTTGATTTGCTTTGCCAGCGTCGATCCGGTGTGAGCTGTACAAGGTCCTGGCAGGAACAGCAAACTCCAGCCAAAAAAAAAGACACATACTCAGCGACGGCCGCGACTGACCACACGGGATGCCTTCGGCGCCAAGGCTTCACGATCTGCCTCGGCCTTCCAGGGATTGCACGTCACGGACATGACTAAGTCACCAACTCGATTCGGGGAGAGCTGCTTGGCCGCCTGGATCTCCATAAGCTTGCGGCTGGCACCGCGCTGAATGTAGTCCTGGAGACTGCGGTAAGTCTCAAGGCCTGTGAGCTCCTTGAAGGAACAGGCGGGCCGTGCAACCGGGTCGTACGGGGGAAGCTGCTTCTCGATTCTGTTTTTGTGCTCCGTCCAAAGCAGGCCTCGCTGACGGAGCACCTCCTTGGCATCCTCGGCGCTCCATCTCGGCGACCTGGGCCAGCTTGGATAACAGCAGCTCCTTGGCGCAAGTCGTACTCCGTGTACGACCTGAACCTCCGCGCGGTGCTTTGCTGCTTGCTGCGTAGACCCACTGCGGCTTCTCCTTTGAGATGCCTTTGCTACGGTTAGGGCTTGGCGCCAGTAGCTGCTGATCAGGCTCTTCGTGCGGCGCTGCGCTGGCTGGAAGTCCTGGGCACTCCGACGGACGAAGCTGGTGCCAGGGACCTGCTTCAACAGCCGGCCGTCTACCTTGCCGTCGCTGTCCTCCGAACGCATCAGCCCCAACCGTGGTAATGTAGCTACGCGTGGTCTACTCACCCTGAATATTACCGCGGTTGCGGCTGATGCGTTGAGTTGGTGATAAGTAGACGACGCATAGTTGCCCTGCCAACTGCTTCTCGAGACCCAGCAAGGTCTGCTGTAGCTCCGGGAAGTCGAGGTCGCTTTGGAGATAGGTGAGGCGGGCCTGCATCAGCTCACGCCTCTTCGGCATCTGACAAGTTCCGGTCCACTTTTCGAAGCGCCGTCTCCAGCAAGGCCTCGCTCTCGTCTGGGTCTGGGAGGGTGTCGAACCTGCCGCCCATGGTTGCCAGAGTCCGCCAGCACTCCGACTGCCCGTACAGCGGCAGTAGGCAAGGCACCAAGGCCGGATCCAAGGCGACGCAGACCCCGGCCTTTCGGCTCATCTTCGAACTTCACACGTGGGCCTGCTGCTTCTGCTGGAGGAAGGACTGCCTCGGCATGAGGAGGAGCTCTGGAGTGTTGCTGCATCAAGGCCGCCTGGAAGCTCTCTGCCTGCTGCTTCCGGCAGTCTTGGAAGCTTTCTGCCTGCTGTTTCCGGCATGCTTGGAAGTTCTCCGCCGCTTGCTGTCGCTCGGCCTGGAAGAGCTCGGCCTGGTGCTGTCGTTCGAGCTGGAAGTTCGCTGGCTCTTCAGCAAGACGTTTGAGACGCGATTGCAGACTCCTTCAAGCTGCTGCTCCATGTGCTGCGAGGAGCCTCCACGCTCCAGTTTGGGAGCCGCGGCTCCTCCTCTTCTCCCTCTTCCTGGCCTGGAGTAACCTCCACACCATCTGAGCCAGCATGCTTGTCCTCTTCATTATCCCGAAACCAGTTGATGACTTAGGGTCCAAAGTGTGACTGAGTCATCAGCCACTTTCCCGAAACCACTTGATGACTTAGGGTCCAAAGTGTACTTCAACCCGTGTACCCCCAGCTACCAGAGGTAAACAGCTGCTCTCGTCCTGAGTCTGGTCCACAGACTCTTGAAGCGAGTGCATGCCAGGCGCAGGCGCAACGCCCAAGAACTTCACGGACATGGCTGCGTCACAAGCTGCTGCTTTAGAGCCCCACTGGCTACGGCAATGAAGTCATTGGGGAACTTAGACTCAGGATCACCTTGTTTACTTGAAAAAGCTGCGCTTGTACCTATTACTTAAACCCTCTGCCCAACCTCATGTTGGCAAGTCAGTCCATCAACGGCTGTTCGGGCTGTTTTGAGCAGCTACCTACCTTGAACCTACAAATTGCACCTCAACCACTGCCACTCAAGCGCTTCACTGACCCCACAAGACAACTAGGCAAATTGGAGCGTGGACGTCCCTGCCACGTCTCTGCGACACCGAATGAGTCAAGCGCGCAGATTTGACACATTGGATGATTGCACAAGCCCTGGTTATAACATCGACAAACTGCAGACTACCAATGCGGCTTGGAGCCAACATGCGCGCCACGCCTAGTCCCTGAACGTTACAACTCCATAGTGTGCTTTCCCCCTCCACTCCACTGTTCGAGCAAACGACGCAAACAGATCCCGAGCTCTTTTGCCTTCTCGGACTTTTGCTTCTCGATCAAAGTCTCGTAATCTTTCCTCAGCGCCTGCATGGCGACATTATGCAGTCAGTGAACCTTCTAAGGGTGTTTTGGGGTGCGCCTGCGGTACCGGGCAAGCTCAGACTTGACACTGACTTGATTGTAGATCGTCTTGTTCACTTCCTTTCTCAAGCCAGCAACAGTTGCGCAGGAGGGGGAGACTCCTGGGTCCTGAGTCTGACGCGCAAGTCTGCGAATTGCTTTTCAAGCGGTGTGCGTCTTCAACTGAGTAAAGTCTGAAGTCTGCCAGCTCTGAGAGGCCACATGTTAAACTGTTAAAGTGGCAGGAGCTCATCAGTGGGAGGGATTAGGGGGCTAATGCAGGCTAAAGGACTACGCGCCTGCGGAGGCAACGGGTCAAAAGAACCGAAACCCCAACGCCAGAAAACCCTAAACCCTAAACCCTAAACCAACCCTAAACCCAAACCCGAAACCATGGTTGACTGGCCGGCGTTTGCCTCCGCGGACATGGACTTGGCCATGCTGTCGGAAGTGAGAACCTCCCAAGTTCAGCAGCGTTTAAGCATGGGGCTTACCAAGCCGGCTGGGGTTTGGATCAGAATGCTGGATAGATGCTAGGGCCTGCTAGGGTCCTTGGGCTACAGCCAATCACGGGCGAATCGACTACGGATCAGGGGAAAACATGTAGCTGAGGGTGGCCAATCCCTCGGCAAGAAGCTACAAAACTTACAAAACTCACAAACCAATCCCAACACCCCACACCGGCACCCCGAAATACCACAACCCCATAACCCCATTGCAGTACTCCACATCCTTCGGGGCCTTCATCAGGCGCTCACACACGAAGTCGAGATGCAAGTCCTGGACTTGGGGGTAAGGGCTTAGGATCAGTTTAAGTACTTGTGGATGTTCTCTGGCTTGGGGGTCCCCGGCTTCACTTTGGGGCTTTGAGGCTTTTGAATGTATTTAAGCTGGGGCGCTCACATGCGATCACATGCGTTCACGGGAGCATTTGCGGCATGTCTTGAGGTGTCCAGGCGGCAACAGATTTGAAACTTTGGTAGACAGCAGAAGCCACCACATAGGCGAAGTTGCAACTCCGTCATTGCATGTTTGATCACATATTGCTCTCATGGGACTGTGAACATGCACATCCCTCTCCCAGACCCAGAACTGCGTAAAGCAGGAGGAGCTTGGCTACAAGGTTACAGCAAGCTGCACTCCAACTGATACCCACATTGCCCCGGTGGAGGGGGCTTGTTGGGTTGCTGGGTGCTGACCAGTGTTAACTCTTCCCTGGAGGTTTTCTCTCCCATCCTGTCGGAGACACAGGGAGCAGTCAAAGGGCCTAAACAGCAAAACCGATTTGGATTCAAGACCAGGTAATGCGAAATCAGCCAGAATGACGGCTAAACAAAACGAAGCTTATAATCATGTTGACAACTCCTAAATCCCACCAGTAGCAGAAGCTCAGTGGCAGCTAGCAGCTATCAGGGGAAAGGGGCCTCGGGGGGGATAATGTTCAACGGTATTCTGGAGAGTTCAGCTGTGGCGCACAGTAGTTTCTCCTCGTTGCGCTTGACCTCGATGGTTGCGTGCGCCTCTGGGTCAAGTCGTCAGGCTCAAACCCTAAACCCTAAACCCTCAACCCTAAGCCCAATGGCAGGGAGTATGGTCCAAAACAGAAGCTGAAGGCTCCAAGAGTTCTATGGCTTTCTGCACGAGCGCTTCGGAGCTTCGATTTTCGTAGTCTCTGCGAAGAATACGCGTTCGCGCGCTCTCAACGTCAGTGTTGGCAGGTAGGTGCAGACCTGACGCTCTGCTCGACCACCGGCCCCTCTCATGCTCGGCTGAACCTACATCCCAGACCATGTCTTCTGAAACCCTGATACCCTCCGATACCCTAAACCTGTGTCGGATCTGCATGAATCTCACAAGTCTACCTATCGCTCATCCTCTCTAGAAGCCGAAACCTCGCTTGGTGCTCTTCTCCACCTCTGCCCCAACATTTCCAATTCAATAAGCTGCACAGGTCAAATCCGACGCAGCTTGCAATCACCACTTTTCTACCCGCGCCTCGCCAAGAAGTCCCAGCACCTCCGCCGAGCGCCTCACGTGAGTGCTTGAAGTGCTGATATCACGTGTTGAGTTCATGGGGTGAGGGGGTGGTGTCGGGCGGTGTCGGAGCTAAACAGCTAAAGCACCATGTGATGTTCAGGTCTTGAGCTTTGGGGCAGATTCAGTGAAGCTTGGGGGATTGGGCGGGGATTGGGCCGGAATTGGTGGCTTTTCGCGGCTGTTTACGCCTTCGTCCCTCCACTGAAGCCTTTCGAGGCGGACTTAGGCTTGGGTGGTCCGGCAATTTTGTCCCCTTGTTGTTGGGGGTTCAGGTTTTTGGCATTGACAGGCCCTAAGCTTAGGGCTTAGGGTTGCGGAGTTCCATGCTTCCCAAGCCCTGCCAAGACGCGCATTGAGGCGTCCCCGACGGACGCTGGGGACGTCGTCGCCATTGAAGTGAATCGCCACCTCTTCTTTGTGCCGTGTTGTGTGTTTGTGGTGGGTCTGGGAGTCTTTAGGATTTGAGCTTTAAGGGCGACACTCTCCCAATCGCAACCCACCCGGGCACAGATCGAAAGACAAGGCACCAGCTTCGAGCGTACAAAGGTGCCTGAGCCCACCTGGCCACAAGGGGCGTCGAGGCTTTCCAGGCAAGGGCGTCAATGTTTCGAGGCCTACAGGGGGGTTCTTGAGATGCTGTTTTGAAGTCTGGCTTCTGTAGGCTTGAGCTTCCAACGCCTTGTGTAGCTTGTCAAAGGCAAACCTTGTTCTAACCAGGACATTTGCCCTTGGCAGCTGTGGATTTGACTCTTCGGGAATGTCGGGGCTGGGGTGGGAAATACGAAGCCTCCATTTCTATGGGCGCAGCAGCCCCGCCCCCCGTTGGCAAACATGACGCATGATGTTCGCGCTTTGCACTTTTTGTGGGCTTCGACCTCCAATTGTTCTATCGAAGCATTATCGGACAATGTTCGCAGGGCAACACCGGTCCTCTCCGGTTGTGAATGCAATGCTTTCATATGTCTCGTTCTGTTTTGCATTTTCCTTTCTCGCAAGAACAATGCACGCATGATAGCTTACGAAGGGTGGCGCACATTTGCGGACACGATGCCGGCAAAACGAAAAGATTTTTGTTTTTTTCGAAGGGCCTCATCCTGATTGCACGATGCGTTTGTATCACGTAAGAAGGCGAGCCCCCATTTGATGAGTTCGGAGAAGCTTCACATGCATTTTAAATCAAACTCAATTTCGAACTTAATTGACATTAGGGCATTCAGGGGGTTGGGAGAAGAGGGGGGGGCAGGGGTGCAGCCCTCCAAGTGCAAACGCAATGCTCATGAGTTCGGTTTTGTACGTGATTCATATTGGTTTTGAAGGAATGCTCATTGATGGCACGACCTTCTTTGAAGCAAGGTTGCGCGGTTCGCGGGGGACGGGCTTGGAAATGACTCATGTGGGGCATCATGTGGGTTTGAAGGAATGTCCATTGACGGTACAACATTCCTGCCAACAAGCTTGCCTATATGATGCTTTGGAAAGGATTCGTATCATGCTTTGGACGAATTCATGAAGGCTCTCAGGAGTATGAGGAAAGTTCACCGATATTCTTGGAAGCACGTTTGCATGGACCGCTGGGCCAGCGCCAGGAAAGGGGACGGTCCACCCCAGGAATCCCAGGAAAGGGAGCAACAAAGAGGTAGTAGAAAAAGCAGCCTTCATCCGCAAACCCGCCACTCATACATTGCAAACTCTCAGCCCTCGGAACCTCCCACCGGAGCAACGCCCAAGCGACGCTGTCGTCCTAGCTCAGAGTTGTGGCGGAAGGACATCAGGAGGGTGAGGGTGGCTGGGCTGGGCCGCGCCGAGGGCGCCTCGGAACCGATGAAGCCCTACAGTGCTAAGAGTAAAGGAAGCAACTGCAGTCTCCTTGCCGCCTGTGTCAACATGCTCTCCAAATCAAGGTGGGCTCCCTGAGGGGAGCTCGGTTCACGAGACCCCCCATGTTCTTGTGACGCTGGTAGAAAGCGTTACCCCCTCCCCTCCCCAAAAAATCGAACTGCTAAGCCTTCGCAAACTCCAATTTGCTTGCGAGTTTGGGTGCCCTAAGTTCCACGCAAGGCTTACGGGATCAACGCAGGACTCTGCAACTGCAGGTTGGCCTCGGGTGACACCTTTGCATCAGCTCCACAAACCGACCAAAAACCTAACTCTGAAGCTCCGGAACCCCAAAGCCGCTGAGGCCCTCCAAACTCTGAATTCCAACTCTGGGCCCGGACATCTCAATGAAGCCATAAGCCCTGGAGGTCAGAGGAAGGCTGTCGCCCGTCCGTGAGGTGGGTGGCCAGCTCGGGGATGCCGCCTGCATGCTGGGGGGGGTGTGCGGTCGAAGCTTGAGGGCTTGAGGGCTTGAATTATATGTTGAAAGTATTGATTTTCCAAAAGAGATGCATATGTCCAACGTTACTGCCTGCGCCAGCCCCGAGCAGAGATGCAGAGGCGGAGGACACACCTGAGCTTGGGTGACCAAAAGCAGGGGAGTGATGGGCCTAGAAGCTTATGGTTGAGCTCAACCTCCTGAAGCACAGAGTGGCTACAGATTCAGCACTACGACGCAGAACAACCAACGGTTTGCAATTTGCAATATGGGCAAGGTAAAAGAGATGCACAAAGTCGTGGTTGTATGCCCATGACAATCAACAAGACATGCGACAGGAGGATGGGCAGCCCTACGCTAAAGCCCAAAAGCCAAAAGGCTTTCCAGCTGCACTACCCCTCTAGCTGAAACAGCAAAGCCTAAACCTCACCTACCCCCCTAAGCCTAAGCCGTATCGCTATGACAAAGCCCGGGTGCTTCCCACTCGGCGGAGCCCGGGACGTGCCATGGCGACACTTGGGAGGTTTTTCAAGCGGAGGGTTTGAAAGTCTTGGACTTGCAGGCGCACAATCCGATTCCAAACGTCCAAGTTTTTGTTCTGTTTTTTTAGTCTTGTTTGAGATACTTGTGAGTTCGTAGCTCTGCAGCAGTGTTGCCCGGGAAAAAACGAAAGCAGCGCACATGACAAAGTGTCAAACAAAGCTCCAAACCAGGCTTGCTATTGACGTTGATGTCCTTATTGGCACGTGCTACAGCTGGCATTCTTCATCCCCTAAGCCCTAAGCCCTGTTGCAACCTAGAGCCCAGTGCATATTCTTTTAAGAAGAAAGCCACCTGCGGCACGTTGGGGGGTGTCCAACTCATACCCCGAAACTTGTAAGGTTGCTCATGTCTCCTGCGCTGCTTGACGCAGAACACTGCAGTTCCGAGCATCTCCCCAACATCTCCAAGGCCTGAAACTCTGTGCCAACAGAGACACGAATTACACTGCAAGCAGAAGCAAAAAACACGCAGCACCCATAAGGGGGCATCTGGCCTTTTCACTGCAGTCACGAGCAATAGGCACGTAGCATCCCTATTTTGGGAGGCCGGCCACGTTGTTTTCACGATCTGCTCGGATGTGTGGACTGAGCTTACCTTTTCAAATGAAGAGGCCGAAGTCACATTAGGGTTTAGGCTTTTTGGTTTAGGCAATCACGGCTTTAGCTCCTGGCCACAGCCACAGCAAGGTAGTGCAAGAGATTCCCTGCGCCTCTGCAGAGATAGTTGCAGTCCCACACCCTGAGCCCAGCCACCGGAATTAGGGGATTCGCGATGAAGGAGCACGTGCGAAGAAACCCTCGCACAGCTCTCAGCCTTGAAGCCTTCGAATGAGGTCCTGGACCAGAAAACCTGCTATTTCTCCCAGAAGCCTTGTCGCGAGATAAGAATTTCAGGGCATGCTGCGCAGCCCCCATTGAAGAGCCCCAGATTTGCTGGCTAAGGTCACAAACCGCAAGCCGTCACAAAGCCCACATTTGAAAGTTCAAGGCCCTTCACCTTATCTCTCTGCAGGGGCGGAATTGAAAAACTTGAACTTGCCGGAAGCAGTTCGGATGCGACGTGCAACAGGAAGCCACGCTGAAAGCCACTGAAAGCCGTAGTGAACTCGGTGGTGAAGGGGTCAAGGATGGAAGATGTTTCTGGTCAAGCACGAAGGAGCTCCGCAAAAAGGATAGCAGCAGCGAAGGCATAATGAAACGGCAGAAACCGCGCCTGACCATCAGTCCGTCTATTTTGCCCCTCATATGACGAGCATCTAGTGAGGATCGGCCTGGGAACGACTACTACGACCTTCCGTGGCGAGAAAAAGAAAAGTCGGGCAGTCCTCAGAGCTGCAAGGGACGCACCAGGGAACGCTGTAAAAAGCAAAGACTTGCAATGGCAGTCTCAAAGTCTACAATACAGATGGGATGGGCAACGCTGCCCCTACTACAGTTGAACCCCCCCCCCCCCCTCCCCCAAATCCGAAAAGGCGAAAGCGGCCAAGCGGCTCACCCCAAGGAAGAAGTTAGGATTCACTTCAAGGAGCCTGTCCCGGGGTGGTATTTGGCAATTTCCGTAGTGTGTGTGCAGTCCCTTGCAGCCGACTTGAGCCTTCAGCATTCTTGAGCCCAACGCACAGCTGTAGGTTGAGTTGAGGCTTTTGATGGTCTCGTAAGTCTAGTATCGCTGATCCAGGTGGAAGAGGGTTTGTCGGCTTCCGGGCTCCCTAAACAACGCTGAAGGGCCAAGTGCAAGATGTACACTCCGGCCAGCACCCCGAAAGCATTGGTCAGTCCTGGCAATCTCAGGCTTGACAGAAGTGCAGCACAGGCTCTGACAGCAGAAGCTCTTGGACGCAGCCAAGCCGCGATCCCCCAATTCCGCCGAGAAAGCCCTCTCTCTGACTTGGCATCAGGCCCTGCCTAGCTTCGGAGCTGTTTCCTGCCCTGTCTGAGCCCTCAGCCTGGCCTGTTGCGACGTGTTGCGGCTACTTGCGCTGAGGTGGCTGCCTGGCAGGGCAACAGCCAGGACTCCGCCGCTCGAAGTGGGGGTGGGGGCGGTAGAGGGAGCGAGAGCGAGGGGTGGGGGGGTAGGAAGGGCTCGGGGATTCAAGGTTTGAAGAGCCCACCTTCTGGCCATGGCTCAATGCTTCGGCTTCGGCAGCATTCGAGAAACTGCGGACTGAGGCGGAGGCGCCGCAGCAGCACCCCCGCGATCAGGATAGACCTTGGCAAAACGGCACTGAGCATCCCGGAAGCCTTCATAAGCCTTAAAAGAGCCGAGCACACGCAAAGTAGGAAGCCGGTCTACGGCAAGCAATCAGTCAAGGCCGAAGGTTTCTTGGCCCGGGAAGGCAAGAGCTTGCGAGTTGAGGACCTGTCTTCTTGCTCCTTTTTTCATCGGATGGCGGGGTGGTTGGCTTTTAGGGAGTTGGATGAAACTGGTTTGATACACTTATGTCTTATGTTGGTTCACTTTTAGAGTGAAGCCAGTCTTGTTGGACCCGGCCAGCTTGAGCGCCCGGGGACGAATATCTATTGCAAGGCCACTTGCTGGGTTTCAGCGGTCACGTGCAGTCTCTGTCCGCTCCCGGCGAGTCTGGCGGGTGCTCGATTCCGCGTCCCTTGCCCATCTTTGTCTGAAGTTCAACCCGGTGCTGCTGAGGAGATCCTAACTCCTGGTTTGCTTTTTTGTTGTTGCGGTCATGCGATTCACTGAAGCAAGTAGGAAGCTCCTGAGTAGCAAGCCTCTTCGGTTTCCAGCTCTCCATGTCATGGTGCCACAGTGCGCAGACCAGTTTAGCAACTTCTGAGCAAAGACAAATCAGCGTCTATCACTGCCATCCCCATGAATTTGCAGACGTCTTATGACATCCCATTCAGCTCATACTGAGGTTGAATAAATGAACATGGTTCCTGAGCCCAGACTGCGCCCCCATCTCAGTGGCAAGCGATGAGGCCCGAAGGCGTCCTCGAGACTGACGGTAGCTACGGGGGGCCCGAGAAATTCTTCGTGCCGTTTCAGAGGGTCCCTACGAGGGCCTCCTGGGTTTGAGGAGTTTAGCATAGTTTAGCACAAACTGGCAGCTGTGGGATGTCCTGAGGTTGCCTTTTGTGTGAATTTGTCGGGTCAGGGCTAATTACTCGGGACACCCTGAATCATATCTCCCGGCATCCTTACATCCTCTCAGGAGATATCGCCACGCACAAGTATACGAGCAAGGGCTTCAGAATGCATAAGACATCAACATGTTGACCAGGGCTGCGATTAGCGCACCGCCGAGCAAGCGACTATTGAGCCCCCCGGAGATCCAAAAGCAAGCACCCCCCAGCGGCCTGACACCAGGCGGCAGCGATGCAAAGGAGCGCTCCTCGCAGGCTGCGACCTCGGCCGTGTGAGGGTTTGGCAAGGCTCCTGGGACTCGAAGGTTTAGGGTTTAGGGTGTAGGGCTTAGGGTTGAGGGTTGAGGGTTTAGGGTTCAAGCCCCATGGCAGGGGCCCCCTTGCAGAAGGGCCTGATCTCATAGATGCCAGGCCGGGCTGAGCAGTGTCACCTTCGAGTGCCCTGGCTGCAGGCGGCTGCAGCCTACCCGGAATCATCTGCATCTAGGACCCGAGATTCGCAAGGTAGAGAGTTTGTATACACCTTTGAGGGATTGCCATGCTTGGATCGCCAAGAACCTAAAGCTGCAAATTTACAGAACATGGAGTTGAAGCTCAGCCAGCATTCCACCAAACTTTGGCCGGCTTTTCGACATGGAGTGCTCGCGAGGCGCTCTTTATGAAGTCTTGCATTGTTTGGGGTGTTGGCGGCATAGCACAGTTGTGGGCATTTCTTGTTTCAGGACTTCGGTTTTTCTCCTGGTTCGGAGCTTTGTACCTAAACCACATTCTGAGCATAGCAACTGGATAGTATGAGCTTGATGAATAAAGCACGAAACCCCCCCCCCCCCATGGCCCAAGGCCCCAAACTGCTTGGCTCCTGGCATTGCTGGCAATGAAGACTGTTTCCGCTGCCGCGACCTTCAGTTGCTCATTGATCTCCCATCTAGCAAAAACCGTCCTTGTACATGTGTAGTTGCAAATTCGACGCTTCATCCAGTTTCACCCAAGACTGCGGCAAACTGGAAGTAGTGGCGCTGCTTGTAGACTGCGTACACTCCCGTTTTATGATCTGCCCTGATGCCCTGACTTTGCACCCTTGAGTTGGTTTGGCGGGCCACGCCACGCCTTGAGCCCTGACCCTTGACAGCTACAAAACGCCCCCCCCATGGCTTTGGGCGACGTCTGGCAGACGTCCCTGTCTTCTTCTTTGGATGGGCATCCAGGAAATCGGCTAACTGGCGAACTGGGCCAGTGTGAGGCGGTGTTAAAAGGCTTTGGGCTGTGAGGAACTCCACGCGTGTGCACGAAGCAGCACGCGGGTTCTGTGGCGCTCGGGCGCGAGTGAATCTATGGTTTCCCGCCATAGAAGGCTGGCGCAGTCCTGAGCTCCCAGCTGGCGGCGGCGGCGGCACGGCTGCCCGCTGGGGGCCCTCCTGGATGACCTGATGGGTTGCTACTTCGTTGAACCCCCATATGGGGTTTCAGCTCCAGAGTTTAAGAGTGGAATCTCTGGGGGACTTGCGTTTTGGGGGGTAGGAGATGGGTAGGAGCTTCGTAGCTGAGAGGTCGAAAGGACTTCTTGCTTGTAGGTCCTTGCGGCTGTGTTGTTTCGCAGCTTGGTTCTGAGTTGTCCTGATGATGGGAGCGCCCCGCGTGGGTTCTGCGGATTAATTGTTTTCCTTATTGAAGCCCAAGAGCAAGAAGAGCCAGGAGACTTTTCAGGCTGAGAGTACTTCAGTTGAAGTGCGCCCTCAACCAGGAGCCATGAAACCCCCCCCAGATTGCAGATGCTCAAACAAATGCTACGGAGCATGCAAAACAAGGGCTGAAAAAAAGCGCGTTAGCTCTCCTGGAAAGCTGGGCGGCCTCGAGGGGAGGC